GTTGAAGACTATAATTATACCTTAATCAATGTGTTCATTCTTGTTGATGTCACAACAATTGGCTCTAATCATGCAAATGTTCTGGAAAAGGACAATGAAAACTATATCTCCATTCTTGACTGATAGGATTGCTTTCCTTGATCCCTGGTTTGTGAATCAGTGGGGAGTATATTACATCAAGTTTAATGCAGGGTCGAATTGGATATTTCCTAATAAATATATTCAGGTGTATAATGGGAAATCTCCAAATAATGGAAAGACATACAAAAAGTGGGTAAAGGATATAGATATTCTTTACCTTACTCACAATATTGGGAAATATCATTGGGTAACTTTGGAGGTTAATTTAGCCATGCGGAGGATCAAAGTGTATGATAGCATCTGCTCCTGCTACAGTGATGGGCAAATTTATGAAGCTTGCGAGAAATTCACTAGGATGATACCTGCATTGATTCAAGTTATGTCACCTGTGGAAGAGAGAAAAAAACTTGGTGCTGCAGCCTTCTCCATCTACAGGGTAAAAACAGCTCCACAAAACTATCAAACAGGAGATTGTAGTGTATATTCTATCAAATTCATAGAGTGTCTGGCCATTGGTATTAGCTTTGAGGGGTTGTGTGATTCAGCCATGCCTTGTATTCGGTTGAAGCTTGTTGTAGAGGTTTTTGATGAGGTCCCAGATTCTGGTTGTTTCGTCCAAATGTTACACCCTCGTGGTGATGATACGTACCGTAGGTGTAGAGTTCATCTACCAGAAAGACCCTTCTTAATCTATAGTTAACATGTTTTGTGTGCCGTGTGAAACTTTACTATGGTGCATATTCAGAATCTTACCCATTAGAATATGCACCATTGTAATCATGACATTGTTTTTGTTCTACTTTGTTTGTAGTCTTTTGTCATGAAACCTAATGGCCTTCACCAGGGAAAAAAATCTAGTATTTATTTGTTAGAGATTTTTCATTCCTAATTGATTAACAAGGTTATTAAAGCTTATTAGGAGATTTACATTACAACATACTTATCTGGTAGATTTAACTGATAGAGTATTTAAACGGAACAATAGATTAGAGTTGTGCCAATAAAGCGAAACATCATTGCCAAAAAATCATCAAACCCGAAATCCTCGTACACCATTGCCAAAAAATCATCAAACAAACTTCCTTGTTTCGCAGACAGTACCCTGCAGCCTCTTCTTTCATCTACAATAAATGACCAACGGTTTTTTGCAAATTTCCACTTCCCACATAACAGTGGAATTTCTACCATCTTTCACTAGATGAAACAGCAAAAGATTTCATAATTAACTTCATCTTTTTTGATAAAATGTTTGCTTCGGGGAAACAAGACAGGTTTCCCGCGTAATAAAGCGTAAATGTAAGGGTAAACATGACTTTTGCTTTTTTTAATGTTTGCCCTCTTTAATATTGATCGCTAACAATTTCTTACAGCTCTATCACCACATACGTCCAAAAAAAAAACACCCAAACATGCTAGTTACAGCTAATTAGATTAAAAAACCTGCATGTTAATGAAAAATTTGATATCAAGAATGTTTAATTCTCCCTCCGTTTCGTTTTAGTTGTCGTTCTAGGACTTAAATTTTGTTTCGTAATAGTTGTCGTTTTAGGTTTTCAATGCAAATATTTGGTAAAAATTCCAGTATTATCCCTATTGTTTTAATTTTTTGGCCAAATTTATAAGATATATTAATAAAGGGTAAAACAGAAAATTTAATGCTTTTCTTAATTTTTGTGAGAAAACCTTAAACGACAACTAAAACGAAACGGATGGAATAACAAATTTGTTGACATGATTAAGGTGTTCTTAATTTTGTACGTGGTGGTAGGCATGACCACGGTTACGGTTATTCCGGTTACGGTTTATTAACCACCGGTTACGGTTATAAATTTCCTTTAACCATAACCTTAACCACTATATATACGGTTAAAACGGTTACGGTTAAATACGGTTACGGTTAGAACGGTTACGCTTAAATACGGTTACAGTTATTTGATGATTACAATACGGTTAATATCGGAGGTGAAATCTTAGTAATTAATATATAAACTATTTTATGATTTGTTTTATGAAAAATGAATAGTAGATTAGTGGAATTGCTTAAATTTAGTAGTGGGCAAAACCATCTAATGCACTCTTTTCGTGATATTTTATATTTTTTAATATTATGAGCCTCATTAAATTGTGTTTTCACTCTAGACAGTCAAACATGAACACCAAAACACAATCTACTACTTAGTTTATAACTAAGTTAGTTAGTCATAGTCCGTGATATTTGCCAATCTACAATCCACTTTGACTTTGTTAACAAGAATAATTTCAATTTATTAAACATCAGAATTATTAACCGTAAGCGTTTGAGAAAATACCATTTTTTGAGTAGATTTGTTCATATAATGTATCATTTACTTTTTTGAAAAATTGTATCTGGACATTCGATATTTGTCTTTTTACTAGACACAGTTACGATTACAATTTTAAGGTTTTAATTGCACGGTTAACTATACGGTTAACCGTGCGGTTAACCCGTGTGGTTAACCGTACGGTTAATAACGGTTTTGATACGTTTACGGTTAATTAACGGTTACGATTAGTATATTTTTTAACCATAACTAATCTATTTTTACGGTTAACGGTTACGGTTTTTAACCGTTTTATACGGTTACGGTCCGATTACGGTCCGAAATACGGTTACGGTTAGGTTTTGGTCATGTCTACGTGGGAGTTGTCAAAGTTGACCAAAGCTTTTTGACTTTTGACTGTTTCTTTAATGACAAATCAAATCAAATGAAACTCGTGTCGTTTTGATGATTCAACGATGAACGTTGCGCTGTTTTATGGTTGCTCAGTTGTAAAAAACACGGTGAGGAAACACAGAAACCATAGACGACGAACGCAGAAGTCTTCTCTTTCTCTTTCGTCTGATTAAGCTTTACACAGAAGAGGAGAGATATGGATCAGATACTGAACAAAGTTGGCTCTTACTGGTTAGGTCAAAAGGCAAACAAAGAGTTCAATTCCGTCGGTGACGATTTCAATGTATCTTTAAACTTTCCTTTCTTTTATTTATCTTCACGACTTTGCTTTTCAGGGTTTTAGTTTCTTGTTTGAGAGGAAAAGCATCGATCTTTGATTTAGGGTTTTCAATTTTGAAGGCTCTTTAGTCTTTTTAATGCTTGGTTTTGTCTTATTGTTTGAGTTACATGGTCTTAGTTTTAATAAACCTTGTCGTGAATATTAATGGAAATGTCATAACTTTGTAGCTTAATTGAATCATTCATTGATCTTTAGTGGGCGATTCTTGAGTTGTTATAGAAAGAAAGAGTCGAGATTGACTGGTCAATAGCTCAACTGGGCAAAGCCTAAAGGTCGCCAGTTCGAGTGATATTTGGGAAAGGACCATATAAAATGCTCTGGTTCCTAGCATGAAGAGATTTACTATTTGTATAGATTTCATTTTAACTTTTAATGCTGCAATTTGTATCTTATGGTAATATATCATGAATTTTTTTATTGCTTTTGATATCCTGAGACACAAAATGTTCCAAGTTCGATGATATTTGGATTCACTCTTGCAGTCATTGTCTAGCAGTATTGAAGGAGGTACCAAGTGGTTAGTCAACAAACTCAAAGGTTGTTTACTTCTTCCAGTTCTGGTTCCATCATTTTCTTTATCTTTTGTTACTTCAATTGAATGCTGAATCAATCTTGTTCTGAATAGGAAAAATGCAGAAGCCATTACCTGATTTGCTGAAGGAATTTGGTTTACCAGTTGGGATCTTTCCACAAGATGCCACAAACTATGAGTTCAACGAAGATACGGGTAAGTTGACTGTATTTATCCCTGAGACGTGCGAGGTTGGGTACAGGGATTCATCTGTCCTGCGGTTTTCGACTACGGTAACGGGTTATCTAGAGAAAGGGAAGCTAGCAGAAGTAGAAGGCTTGAAAACAAAGGTGATGATTTGGGTGAAAGTGACTTGTATCTCAGCAGACACATCAAAGGTATATTTCACAGCTGGGATAAAGAAAAGCAGGAACAGAGATGCTTATGAGGTAATAAGGCCTGGTGTTGGTGTTGATAAATTCTAACTTATGGATCAATTTATGGTACAATAAAAACAACTGCCTAAGTATATGTTGTACTCCTGGTGTATGATTAATCAAACCTTTACTTCTTAATGTATAAGAATGTTGGTACTTGCTACTTTTTACAATAGATATAATAAGTAGAGAGCAGCAAATAGGTTGTGGAGCAGGGAACAACATCCTTGGAACCCATCTCTCTTAGCCGCCTCATCGGTGGTGAAGTGGACGGCTGTGAAAGGAGCGTTCATGATGACTGTGGTTCTATAAGAAGAGTAAAACGCCCATGTCCTTTCCTCTATTACCACTCGCCTCACGCAGTCTCCAATTCCTTTAAATGGACTCTCCTCGAGTTGAAGCCTCTGCTTCACCACATCCATCTGGTTTATTACGGCATCGCTCGCTACCGTCGCTACAATCCCGACACAGCATCAGCTGTGTGTTTGTTGGTTGGGTCAGACACACTTGAAGACATGGTACATTTGTAGAGCTCATTAACATAGAAATACACCGCTGTGTGCTGACCCGGCACCAAGACTTATGGCCGTGAACACCACCGTAAAGTCATGTAGGGGGCCTTCACTCCGCAAAATCCTTACAAGATTTTCTCTTGACTCCAATGGGACGGACCCTCATAGGACTTGAACCATTAGTTATGGCTATAAGCGGGTCAGGGTAACAAAAATAAAAATTAGTACTTTTCAAAATGTGAAAAAGAGGAAAAAAACAAAAAAAATCACAGCCGCTGATTAATAAATGAGTAGATCTAATGGTCCAGGTTGTCTTCAATGACATCAACCTTCCACTCATAACACGCCACGTCACTACACCAGCTCGATCATCGGCCACGTGTGTTTCCAAATTTTTTCTTATAATTATTTTTCTCTGTCGTTAACACATTCGCGTTTCGAATCGAAACGAAGAAGATCGAGATCAGTGAAATCACGAAACCATGTTCTTATTCGATTGGTTCTACGGAATCTTAGCCTCGTTAGGGTTATGGCAAAAAGAAGCAAAGATCTTGTTTCTCGGACTCGATAATGCTGGCAAAACCACCTTACTTCACATGCTCAAAGACGAGGTTTGATTTGAATTGTTCGATTTTGAATTTTTAAATAGATCTGTTGATTCATGTCTTTGATTCATGGCTTGTGATGAGAATTACTCAGATTTTGTATCGAATTGATTGATTTGTGTCGAATATTGAGATCTGACGTTTTTTTGTGTGTTGTGTGAATTTGGTGTTGGTGGTGATTAGAGATTAGTTCAGCATCAGCCGACGCAACATCCAACGTCTGAGGAACTTAGTATTGGGAAAATAAAGTTCAAGGCTTTTGATTTGGGTGGTCATCAGATTGCTCGTAGGGTTTGGAAAGATTACTATGCCAAGGTTAAATCTTTCTTTCGACATTCTCTCTTACTAATAGTTTATCGGATTCGTCGAAAAGTGTTTGTTTAGTAGGTAAAATTATATATATGTTGCAAGTATTGTTAAATAACAGACCTTTAATGATTGAAGCTTAGATGGAAGTTTCTTTAGTAAATCATAATTCTATTCGAGGATGCAAATTGAATCGAAAAGCAATGTTTGAATCTTCGTATAATGTTCGCTTACCCTTATTGGATTCATCGAACTCGTTTGTTTTACTGGAAGGTGTTTTGTTTAGTAGATAAAACCATAACATTTGTTGCTTGTTTTAATTGCAAGTATTCTTAAATTTTAGTTCTTTAATTATTGTAGTTGGCATGCTAATAGAAGTTTAGATGGAAGTTTCGTTATTACATTGTAATCCGCTTACATATGTATTAGCTTCAAGATGTTTCAGTGGTATTGATCTGGTACAAATTTACGATTTTATAAAGAAAATTTTACTACTTTTTTCTTCGTTCTAGCCACTTAAGTGTTATGTTTTGGACCTTTTGGCATAAAAATTATGTTGGGGAGAACTTCTTGGTAATTTGCTTTCTCTTGTTACATTAGAACGTATCTGATATGATTGTAGACATTGAGCCAGTGTATATTATTGTACCAGAGTTGTTTAATATCGACCTAGAGCTTATGGTGTTATCAAATTGGGATCCTCTCATATCAGTTATATAAGTATGGCTGTGAGTATTGTAGAGCGAACTAAAAGTGTGTTTGCGTGGATCTATTTGTTTTGTTAGCATATTAGGATTTGAAATTGTCTTTAATCAAGTGTAGAGAAACATGGTATTCTCTTTGCTGATAGAATCTCTTTTTGGTTGCATAAAGGTTGATGCTGTTGTCTACCTTGTGGATGCTTATGACAAAGAGAGATTTGCTGAGTCAAAAAGAGAGCTTGACGCTCTTCTCTCGGATGAAGCCCTTGCAACTGTTCCGTTTCTGATTCTTGGAAACAAGATTGATATCCCTTATGCAGCTTCAGAAGACGAATTGAGGTATCACTTGGGTCTCACTAACTTCACCACTGGTAAGGGCAAAGTCGCCCTCGGAGACTCTGGTGTTCGCCCACTCGAGGTTTTCATGTGCAGCATTGTCCGGAAAATGGGTTATGGCGAGGGATTTAAATGGCTCTCTCAGTACATCAACTAAGGACAGACGTCATGTCTTTTTCATATTTCAAAATTCAAACCAACCCCAAGAAGATTTTCCGTACAATTTGTCTATTTCGAGCTAAAAGATTTGTGATTGATGTCACATCCTTCCCTTAGAAGACTTGAACACTTTTTTCTCTTATTTGTTCTTTTTGTTGTTTGCTGTGTTAAACATAAGTTTGGTGGCTTGCATTTCCAAACTTATTCATGTCTCTCGTCCACATTTTTGTCAACTGCTTATGTTTCATTGAACATTATTCCCAAGTTAGACCACCAACTCTTTTGAACATACTCTCACTTTATATTAACGTGTGCCCTACATAAACCCAAAATCAAATCGATTCAACAATCAATCTCTCTCTCTCTGTCTCACTCTCTCCCTAAGCCATGGATGTTCCAAAGGTTTCAAGACTTTGGCTACTCTATGCAGTGTTGCTCTTTCACAGTCAGAGACATTCAGGTGCACTTTGGTTTTTCAAGTCTCAGAGTTTCTTTGTTCAGACATTAAGTTAATTTGGTTTGAGATTGTTGCAGTAAATGCGCAGGCTGGTGGTGTGATCGGAGGTGCAGGGATTTTGGTTCAGAGAGCCGCATTCTGTTTCAACAATAACCTGGTAAGTATGATCGATGACAAAACCCTGTAGGTAAAACGAAAACACTTTGACAATAGTTTCTTTTCTTGATTTTTGGCAGCTCTACAGAGGGTGCAATGAAGCGTTCAGACTAAACCAAAGAGGTGAATTCAAGGTTCCACCTGAGGAAACAGACAAGTTCTGCAACGGTCCTTGTTCTGCAGAAACAGAACTCGTGCTTACATGCATTAATAGCGTCATGTCTGATTTCATATTTTACAACCGGGCTACCCCGAGAGATGTAAGGAACACCCTCCGTGGTGGCTGCAGCTCCTCTTTCACACGAGGTTTGAACCATGAAATACACTTAACTTTTCATCCTTACACATAACCATGAAACATGAACTTGACTTGAGTTTGAATATACAGGGAACTTCAATGTGGGAGACTATGCTCAAGGACTCTATTTCGGCAAGGCCGGGAAAAAGCTGCCTGGATTGTTCGTTGGACTAGTTGTCGGGTTTGTACCATTGATCCTGTGAAGCTAGTTTTGCTAACCATACAAGATTATGTAAATGAGATTCCCCCTCATTAAGATTTCTTTTTTTGTTACTCTGAAACAGATACTTTTTTCTTCTTGTTTTTACGCAAACCTACATAGAAAAGCTACGGTAAAATGTATCTTTTCATTCTAGAGTTTGAACAAATATTTACACTCTTTCTCCTTTGTTTCAATTGTCTGATGGCTTGTTAAATGTCGACGCTGATGTTTGCGTTGAATGACACTTAGGCTTCTTCTTCAACTTCTTTGGGCTCTCCATGTGAGAGACCTGCACAAATACTTGCTCATGTTAGATTCCAAAGTTCTCTTCTAACATTCAGAGCAAAGCCAATTTAGATCACATATCATCAAAAAAAAAGCCCAACGGTTAAGATATCGTCAAACTCATTTCTAATACGCTTTGAAACCTGAAGCTTTATCGTCTTGAATTACCAGATAAAAGATAAGGGCTTTTATAAGAAGTACTTACAATGTGAGATTTCCACTGGACTGTCTCTGAACTACTGTCATGTGGAGGATGATCGCGAACATGACGAAATATGTGAATCAGCACTGCAGCATCAAGAGCAGCATACTCAAGCTGCACAATTCAGTTAATATCAGTTTCAACAATTACGCTCTCCTGCAATCATAACTCCATCATGTTTAAGGCAGCCTCTAATTATACAACAGTTTTGGTCCCTCATAATCATGAAAATGAAAATAAGAAACATTTTCCAGCAGTTTTTCTCGAGGTTCTAGCTAAACAGATAATGAATAAGATTATATACCTGATTCTGGGTCAACGGCCTTTGTTCCCAGTCGCTATTACGTCTTGTTTTGTTCAAAGACACTCCCAATATTTTCTGATACAGAACAAAGAGTTTGAACAAGAAATGATGTTAAGATAATCCTATCGAAATGGTGACTCGGATGTAATATCAAACGATTTTGCAATTAAGAGCTAGTTGAAATTGACTAAAGAAGAGCTTACCTTCGTTAGTCCTGCTAAACCACCAAATGGTTCTTTAAAAACATTTTGAATGTCTAGCAACATGTCATACCGCTCGAAACATTTCAAATCTCCATATGAAAGCGCCAACTGCTTGACGTCACATTGAAAATTGTAACCTGAGGATAATTCATGATCAAGGGTAATCCTCAGTCAGAGAGACTCTTAATAAGGCAGGCAAAAAAGGAGGAAGATAGATCTCATATATACCGAGCTTTAATGTACTCTTCGATTGCAAAATCTGACTAAGGCAGTTGTCCAGCATTTCAGTGGCGTCATTGTAAAGCTTTATCAAGTCCAATATGAAAATTTTGGTATCAGATCCAATTTGCATGATTGAAACCTGAAAACAAGAACAACAATGGTAAGAATACTACAGCATGTTAGGAATGTGAAGAGACTACGAGAGGTTACCTTGTTCTGTTTACTGCCTTTAATATAATTAGGTTTCCATTCACAGTCAATACCCACAACTCTACATCCTTCAAGAAAAGAAGTAGCTTTTCTCAACTCATTGACTTCATCAACCCAAACTACATCTTCCACAGCTAGATCGTTCAGACGCAGAAAGCTTTTTTGAACAAAAGCAACCTCAGCCTCTGAACAAAATAAAGAATACCATTGTAAGCGTCTTATAGTTTTGAAACACAAGGCAAGGTTCTGTGCAGCAATATATACCTTGTGCTTTTCGCAGACCTTGAAGTGAATATCGATCACACAGTTCATTCACCTTCTCCAAGTACCCAGCTTCCATTGCCAAGTATACCTTAAAACCCAACCAACATTTCAACAAAAAGACGGTGATACAGAACATATCTCACCATGAAAATGAAAAATGTCTTTAGACATTGATTATATGTACAACAAGTGCTTACCAGATACTTAAGAAGCTGTCTATCACCTTTTGTTTTATTTTCAGCAACGTCCCAGCATGCTTTTTCTGCTAGAACCTTCAGAGCACTGCCAATCAATTGGAAAAAGGTCATCTTTTAGTGTTAGTTCTGTATCTGTAAAAGATAAAGGAAGCTGTGCACTGTTTACAAATGAGAAGCAACAGACACTGCAACAACCTTTCTTTACACTTGTGATACAATTCGGGAAAGTCCTGCTGGAGATAGTTCTTATTTATGACATGATAGGCCTGCTTTAGCATATTCCTTGAGCCATATTCTTGAACAAGAATGCATAAACTTGGCCTTCCCATGAAGGTAGCCCATCTCTCTGCAGCTTGAAAGTCTTTATCCTCAACCATTTGTTGAAGAAAAGTTTCTCCAGGGAAACGGAAAGAGAAATGCTCTAACAGAGTCACAGCCGTCATGAAAGATTTCGACTTGATCAAGTCAGAAATGTATTGTTCCAGAAACGCATTTCCACTAGCAAACCCATATCCCTGCCAAACTTCCGAGACAGACAACGCTTCATCGATACTAGTCAACCCCACATCAAACACTTTAAGAGTATGCATCATCACCTTCTCATCATAAGTTAAAGATCCTCCAACAGTAGCAAGAAAGAACTGAGCAGCTAGTTTTCTAGCAGAAGACATATCTTCTTCAGTTGTTGGTTCAGATACTGATTTAAAGAAGCGACGTAGCGCCGATATAACCAAATGACTAAACCCTTCACCATATACACCAAACATAGGAAGCACAGTGAGACACTTAATAATGAAAGTAGCAGGTCCTGGTTGAGGTTTATTAGCTAGAACTTGATGAACTCGATACTGCAAAGCTTGGAACTTTTTAGTTGCCTTCAAGCTTCCTGAAATACCCATTAATTTACTTAAACTAGAAAACAAACTGGGAACTTCAAAAAGAAGTAAATCTTAGGACTTACCATGTTTATAACATTCTTTGAGAAGGTATAAGAACACAACAGGAGACACATAAGTTAAATCTGAAAATGAATGTAAACACACAGTGTTTGCTTCAGCTTTCTCATCTTTTATTACCACCAACTCAGCTTCTTCTTCAGAATCCAAACCCATTATAGATAGATGCTACACAATTTTGAATCCTCCCAGTCAAAAATCCTGATGTTTGTACAAAGATAAAATATGTCAAAGTAAGAAAAAGATGATCTTTTACCAAATTAAGTAGTTAGAGATGAATTTTGTATATAAAAAACGAAACTTTGAACCAAATTCAGAGAAAAACAAAAAAAGAGTGAATGAGCTATGAAAATCTAAATTCCGGAGTTGTTGGGATAAAGCAGTAACAATAAGCAGAGACAGTTGTAAGGTACAAAGACGATTGTTTTATACATTTTCGGGAAATTTTGAATCATTTTCTCACCGGAAAATTGACTTACCGGCTAGGAAGGTCGTGAGGAAAGAGAGAAGTTGAAGAGTTGTGAATAAAATAAAGATGACTGTATCTTCTCTCTTAACGGCAAATCTCCGTCTGTTGACTCCGTTTATCTAGGTTTCAAATGAAAATTGATCTAATCTTTGAGGGTAATTTTGTCATTTACAATATTTAATAAACCATGTATAGACGACGGCAAACAAACTTGATTTGAGCTGAAACTTTGCAGGAGTTTTCACGACTCATGGATTCAGGTCATGGTTGATGGAGAAACAAAGTGGAGTTCAATAGCATGTGGTTGCAGTTAAGATATTAAGTTACTCCAAATGAGAAAGAAGGAGAAGTGAGTTGTTTCATCGAGTAGCTAAGGTGAGGGTGCTATCTACGAGATATACTATATTTTTTTTTTTTTGCTAAGCGTCTTGAGATATGATATGTAGGCTTAAATCTGATTGTATATGATAAAATTATGTGACGATATGACTTGATGATTGTTGAGTTTGATATGTAATAGTATGATGTTATGAGAATGTTAAGTATAAGAATGTAAATATACAGATGTATATATGTTGTATATGTGACTAGGGAGATTCGAGGTATGGATTGTGGTCTCCTTAGTAAAAAGGACAATGATGGATCGACGGGTTAGTAGCTAATCAAGAATGGTTGACGAGTCCGGAATGGGGGTGTTTAAGCCACGAGGGCTAGTCTCCACTCTGGAGATTCTAGTCATCACGAAGATGATTAGACCTAACGTTTTATATATGGTTATCTGGTTAAGATGAGTGTCATGAATGTTGTTTTGTTTAACAAGTAAGACATGTTAGTCTTTAAGTTTATATGTTATGATAATGTTTGTA